AAAATTAGGGGTGGGGATCGTGGATAATGACGAAGGATCTGATCCACAATTCAGCACTTGCGAATTACAGTCAAATCGGCCCCAAGTCACATCGGCCCCAAGTCGGATCGGCCCCAAAATAGTCAAATCGGCCCCAAGTGAAATCGGCCTCAAGTCAGATCGGCCCCATTTTTTTATTTTCTTAATTCATTTTCTTATTTTTTAAATGTTGATAAAAAACAATTGTGTGGATGGGAATACCAAATGACAAACAATGGATTACATAGAAAACAAGAACAAAACATATAATAATCAATCTAATTTATTGTCAGAGTATAACGTTTAACATTTATCTTCAATATACTATAAACATATGAAACAGTATACATGTAATTGTCACTTCTTATCACTGAACAATACTCGCCATGGATTACATAGAAAACAAGAACAAAACATATATTCTAACACTATCGGAATTTTGTCTATATAAAACAAAGAAGGCCTGAAGCATGCATTATTCTAAAACAATGCACTCGCCGTTCTTATAATCTCCCTGTGTATTTTCTCATTGAGGGCGCCATCTTGTTTAAAAAATCTGATAAATAAAAACACTTTTTGTCAAATTTTGTTGTGAAAAGTATCTAGAATGAAAGAAAATGGTATAACTAAGAAAATGAATCTGAACACCAATCTCTTTAATTCAGTCGTTAATGCTGTACAGACGTTTAAAGTGTTGTTTACGTGACGTCACAAAAGGAAAATAATCAATGCACAAAAGATCCCTGAGTTACTGACAGTAAACAGTAAAATACATTTTTGACTGTTGCTAAAAAAATCAACCTTTTTATACATACCTGATTAAATTCACTTCACACAAAATTGTTTGTTAAAAAAGCCAAAATCAATGCATGATTATTTGATACATTATGACTGAACTGATTAAAGACACGTGATAATTGTTTGTTTTTCACATAATTATTTTTTTTATCTTCAAAACGTAGACCGACCTTTATATGAAGATATTTAATTGAAATTAAATGTAGAAATCAATCAACAATCATAGCACACCTGCATAATTACATTAATAACAATTATCACTAGCATCAAAACTGTCTCAACTTTGTAATGAATTATTTTTAATTGGTACATTTATGTTAAAGTGCAACTCTCAGTTAACCCATTACTTCATATACACGCCTTTTAACGCCTTTTTCACCCCCCCCCCTTTTTGTTGTCTCAAATGATGAAAAAATGCCTTATTTAGGCCCCAAACACTTGTTTTTGTTTGAGAAATGATGTTAAAAAAAGTGACCTCTTTTTCGGCGCGGCCCCCCAACCAAAAGATACATCAGGGGGTTGCCAGAAGGGGGATGTGCCCCCTTCTGTTTGGGGGGTTTGAAGGGGGGCGGAGTCCCCCTCATCGCCAAGAAAATTTTTGGACTTGTGAGAGGCTGTAAATGACCCCAGATTGATCATAAGGTAACGTGTAACCAACACTGAAAAGCATTTGACTCTATCTCAATCCATTGAGAAAGTGCAGCACTTTGAAATCAATTTTGATGGAAAAAATCAACGCAAAATAGTGATTTTTGGCAATTTTGAGATGTCCCCTCGTTGCCATGGTAACAGAAAATTTAAGCCTGAGCATGTTGTTGCAAGTGCAATGGTCCAGTCAACATTTGTGCCAAGTTTGATTAGTGTTGAAGCAGTTTTTATAGTATTATAGCAATTTGAACTTGTAACGGGAGACTTTTCAATGAAAACAGCCATTTTTCACAAAATGCTCATGAAGTAATGGGTTAATAACCTTGTAATTTTTGGCGAATAACATTATTTTAACCAAAATAGGATTTTTCATAAAAAATTAAAAATAACTTAAATACGGCCGATTTGACTAGTTCTGAGGCCGATTTGACTAGTTTTGGGGCCGATTTGACTAGTTTTGGGGCCGATTTGACTTTTTAAAATTGTTGTGTGGCCGATTTGACTAATTTTGAGGCCGAATTGACTAATTTTGGGGCCGATCTGACTTGGGGCCGATCTGACTTGGGGCCGATTTGACTTGTTTGCCCACTTGCGATATACAAATCGAACCACGAATCTATTGTTATCAAGACACCCATAAAAACATGAACATTACTTCTGAAAACATGTCACTTACATTGTTATTATAGATCAATACAAAGCGACTAAAAATGTTTATTTATTTACTTTTAAAAACAAGCGCTCAATAAGGATAGTGATTTCTTTTTCGAAACAAATGACTTCCTAGCTCAGCATATGTTTGTTTAATTCCTGTCTTAAATGAGCAAATTGTATTTAGGTAAACGTCGCATAATTATACACAAATTGATTTTTTTTACATTTAAAGTGTAAGAAACAGCGAATGTATGATAAACAAATAAGATTGCAATCCACGATCCCTGGACTGACAAATATTTGTACTTGATTTTTCATTTTGATTCGTGATTATCCGAGTACTCGGATACTCGCCCCAGCCCTATTGTAGATAGCTAATTCAATAGTGTCTAGTAATGAAGAATTCTTGTTTAGTTTTGAGCTGTAATATATATGGAATATACATTCCTGTATGTTATAATCTATAGTTTATTGAAATGTTGTACATGTACACAGTAATTAGTATGTATGAAAACACCTGTCCATGTTTTAATTGTCTGTATATATAATAATAATTAACTTTGTTGTTTACATACAGTAATGCTAAATAAAATCAAATAAATGTAGTAGTAGGCCTTTATAGTTCTATGCCATGTCAGCTCGTGTATATACTTTATTTCAATTTTGTTGTTAAAAAAAGCATTTAGATTATTGTCAAGGTGCACAAATTTGTTTCTTATAAAAAAAGAGGGGCACATGCATTATTATAGAGGTGGAAAAAAATCCTTGTTCAAATTCTCGTTTCATTTTATTTTACTGATATTAATGTATGAAATGACAATTGTAATAAATACATGTAAGTAAATGACATTGAATTCCATACGATGTTAAAATGAATAAGAAATTACTGTAGGCCATTTAAGATATCTTAGATGTCAGTTTATAGACATATTAAAATACCGGTCATTGAAAATGAAGCTGCAAGCAGATAAAATATAAACAATCATTGCTTCATTATGAATTAGAAAATGCAAATTTCAAAATGTTTTACTTTATTAACTCTTAGCCTGCAGGCAGTAGCTGAATCTATTTTTATCTTGACATTTTGAGATGACCTTGGGTGTCAAGTTCAGATTTTCAAAATGGATGTATATGGTATTGGGTTATATAAATTCATCTTTTTTTCTGAGATACAAATTAGATAAAATAAGTTTATTAAAATATGTAAATAACATATCTAAATGATGTCATATTTCACATAAGATGTGATGGATCCTTGTTTTGTTTTTCCAGGAAACCTTTCCAGTGGATGTAATGAAGAAGGCAGGAAGTATTGGATTTGGTGCTATTTATTGTAGTGAAGAGTTTGGTGGGACTGGACTGGGTCGGACAGATGCTTCGCTCATTTTTGAAGCTTTATCTCAGGGTTGTGTTAGCACCACTGCCTACATCAGTATTCACAAGTAACACTATAAGCTTAATATTAAACTTATTGGTTTAAACATATTTATTCAAGCTTAATTGTGAAACATGTTTTTGCAACTTATATTAATCACTTTGAGTCTGCATCCTGGAACCAACCAGTACTGGTGTTGTATGAAGAAAAAGGATTGTGACCCAATTAGTGCTCGAACCTATGATCCCTGGGTTGAGAGGCAGACACTTTAACCACCAGACCACCACTCCTAATTAAACTTATTGTAACTTTCTCACAGACTGAAGCCTTTAAACATGTCTAATTAATCTGTGTGAAAATAAAGGCATGGAGCAGTTGCCCAGTGATAAAGATGTTTAAATATAGGGACTGTAAAGAAATAATAAGCGTTTTCTGATATGAAACCAGTACTGGTTAATCCAGGGAAGCAGAGTTTGAAATCACAGATTGGAAAAAAAAGTGAAACCTGACTAGGACTTAGATTCAGGACCTCCATCAAACAGCTCCACTTTCTGACTTACCCAGTGAATAGTGAAAGTAGCTGAAAATTTGATATTTGTAAATTTCTGAAAAATAGGAGCCACATTGGTAAAATCATTTCAAAACCTTCTTGAAATAGCTTTTTGATACATTTGATTCTGATTTACAACACTGTATCTTTAATATCTTTTCAGATATGACCATTAGAATATGTAAATAAATGGTTGTACAGTTTTTAGCTTGACTTTTCAAAAAATAGGGAGAGCTTTTGAACTCACTCCGTTTTATGTTTAGGCATTGTTGTCACACTTTGGTTAAATTTTATGGAGCAAGTTGGTATCTCCAAAAATCCTGAAGGGAATGGGTGGAAATTTCAAACACTTGTTCTTTATGGTTATTTAACATGATGCAGAAAGGTCCCATTACTTTTGAGTTATGCTTCTTTTCTCACTATCAAGCACTAAGAATAGTCGAGCGCTGGCTGTCTCACGAAAGCTCTTGTTTGAAAATCGTACTGTTACTATTGTAACAGTATAATGTGTCAGTTACACCTTTTATCATTCTAATTTGATCTTTATTTCAGTATGTGTGCATGGATGATAGATGAATTTGGTAATGATACTCAGAAAAGTGAATGGATACCTAAACTTGCTACCATGGAAGCTTTAGCCTCATATTGTCTAACTGAACCAAGTAAGCTATTTATAGTAACATACAATGCAATCTCATTAAAATCAGATCATCATTTTCGCTCTGTAACTCTTTGCTACGAAACGAAGGATAGTGGATCGACAGTTATACCCCGGTCACATATTCACGGGATACGCCCACGGAAGAGCCACAGATTAATTCCGGCATTGTCCATAGCTACCCGTACTGGTCAGTAGCTCTCCGTATTGTAACCATAATCAATCGTAGTAGTCCTTGTATATCCGTAGCAATCCTTGACAATTTTTGAACATGCACATAAATTTGCTACGGAAAAATCAACCGTAGCGTATCCCTACTAGTCCATATTAATCTGTACTGATACGTACTGGTCCGTACGAAAACCGTACTAGTCCGTACTGATTCGTAGTCCACCAACTTGTCAAGGATTTCCACGGTTTTGTACGGAGAACTACGCATTTGTACGGTTACCCAACGTATAAGCTACGGTTTTAATACGGATTAATACGGCATTGTCACGGAAAGCCACGATCGTAATACGTTGTACTACGGAGAGGCAAGGATTAGCATGGTCTTATACGGTTTATTGCGTTGCAACACAAAACAGTACGGAATGGTACGGTCCACCACTGTTTAGTACGGATGATTTAAGTATCATGTACTTGGTAGCTTGACTATTCGATAAGAATAAGTAGAGCTATTGTAGTCACCCGAGCGTCGGCGTCCGCGTCGGCGTAACCACTTATGTTAAAGTTTTTGTAATAGTTTAAATATTTTCAAAGTCCATTGACATATGGCTTTGAAACTTTGCACACTTGTTCATCATCATTACCCCAACCTGTAAACAGGAGGAGGTAACTGTATCAAGCATTTTGACAGAATTATGCCCCTTTTTCGACTTAGAATTAACGTTAAAGTTTTTGTAATAGTTCAAATATTTTCAAAGTCCATTGACATATGGCTTTGAAACTTTGCACACTTGTTCACCATCATTACCCCAACCTGTAAACAGGAGGAGGTAACTGTATCAAGCATTTTTTTTACAATCAAGCACTAAGAATAGTCGAGCGTTGCTGTCCTACCGACAGCTCTTGTTCAAGGGTATAAATACTACCTTCTTGTTAAAAACAGACATATTTGCGGAAACATTTAATAAATGATAATTGCCATTTACTGGCTGCAACTTTATATTGAAATGGCTCAGAATGCGGAGGCAGTGGTCGAGCTGCTTGATGACATACATAGAAGTAAATTTATATTAATATCGTACTACAATTCATAAGTAATAGAATAACATTTAATGTTACATATTTTACAAACATTGGATCGTGAAATTGGAGTTAATATGTACATAAAACGAAGTGTCTCATAAGCCTCGGAGGCTGGCCCTTGAGTGAAAATAAGATTAATTAACAAGCTTTTTACATATTTTTAAAACATAAACATCACGATAATTAATGTAATTGTAAGATGAACAGCAAATCTTAAAATTAAAAGAGAAGCAGTGTTGATCAACATTTTTCATTAATGATTACTAGTCCATATCTAATCAGGTAAGAGAAGACAGACGAGATGGTGGACTAGAGATGGGCTTTGACGAAGAACGCTTCAAGTTTAGTATGAGGCTCTCATGGTCGAACTTGTTGGGGATCCAATTCGTTTTCTAGGTGTTCTTTTCTTTTGAGGCATTTTGAAAATAAGCAAGCAAGAGGTTGTAGATTTGTATAAATCCGTGGCAATCCGTATCAGACCGTACTTATTCGTACTAATCTGTGCTTATACAGTAGCAGACCGTAGTGTATCTGTAGTGCGTCCGTCCTGATTCGTGTCGCTCCGTATCAAACCGTGTGGGTCCGTAACAATCCGTGTCTCTCAGGGGGCTTTTGGTGGTAAATCTGTTGGACTCCATACCGTTGTGTGTCCGTACTAGAACCGTAGCGGACTACGAAATTTCACATTTTCGTAGTAATCCGTGAACGATTAGACCGTAGCTCTTCCGTGGCATTATCCGTGAATATGTGACCGGGGCATAAGGATATGATTTTAATGAGATTGCATACAATGTAACATAAATGTTTAGGTATTTGGAGTGATTGTAAAAAAAAACAACAAAAACACACTCTATGTAACAAAGCAGTTTACTCCAACCAAATAAACTTTAGGAGTATTTATATTGAAGGAAATAGAAGAAAAAAGTGCAAAGGAGCTGAAAGTTATTTCGTCTTTTCCATTTTGACAATATATTTTCTTGACACCGTCGTGCTTGATTTAAACTGACATTCTGTTATACCATACAAAATACAACCATTTTTCTTAGCTTGACAGTTTGAAGAATAGTGGGGCTATCCTACTCACTGGGGTATCAGAGTAAGGTTTTAGTGCACTTGTACCCATTACTCTAGTATCAATTTTAACAGAATTAAGGCCATTTGTGACTTTAGAAGTTTTCTTGTATGCAACATTAATCGACAAAATTACTGAAGGTACTCACTTGAAACTTTACACATGTCTTAGAGGTCATGATTGAAGGTTATTAAGGCCCATAACTTTGGTTGAATTTTAGCCCTTGTGAACTTAAAAAGTTCTTGGTAAAGGTTTTACATGGCATGGTAAATCAGTTATTTAATTGAATCTAAAAACCTGTCTTAGCTAAGTTCTTCACCATAATTGGTGGTCACTATCCAAGGCACATAACTCTGACACAGATTTTGATAGAATTATGGCGTTTTGAATCAATTGGCCCACACTGCTATGGGTCTGAATGCCATGAAGGTTTTAGATTCTTCAAATAAGAAAGCTGTCCAGGTAAGATATGGAAAGTTTGGGGATCTACTCCTGTATCTTCTTGTGTCTGAAATCCTGCATGAGGGGGCACCTGAAGTCTTCCTCCACCAGTAAAGCTGAAAAGTAGCCATGCATGTATAACCTTACAGTTTCAGCCGGACTTAACATCTAGCAAAATAGACAGTTACATGTTACATATAGATAACTTTTTAACCAAGAATCATGCACACAGTTTTACAACTATCACATTGAATAATAAGTGGTCATATAGCTTTATATTGTATAATAGCCCTTGAGATCCATTAATTCCTTAATCATTAATTCATACACGTATATAATTATGTACAGTCAAATCTGTCTGTACAGTACATATTTCACTGGAAAAAGTTTTTACAAAATTTCTGTGAACAGATTAACTCATATAAACATGTAATTTTCATGAGCATGACATTGTCAAATCAGTTGTTATAAGTGATTGGTTATCTAAAAATAAGTATATATGTATGTATTATTTTTATGTTCACTTGAAAGTATGTATGTATTATTTTTATTTCACTTGAAAGTATATATGTATTATTTTTAGCACACTTGAAAGTATATATATATTATGTTTATGCAGATTTTGGAAGTGATGCTGCCAATTTATCTTTGTCTGCTAGAAGAGAAGGAGATCATTACATACTGAATGGATCAAAGGTGGGGGACACTTTATTGTTTCTAAATTCTCAACAGTTTGTATGCTGGTGATAATGATTGCATAGCTATGTCACCAATAAAGTCACTTCTGCCTGCACATCTGTCAGTAGGAACACAGTACAATTGGTTGGATCACTGAGCTAAATACGGAGAGCATAGGATAAGTCATCCAAGGTCAATGGTTTGATTCTCGGACGCGACGTAATTTATGCGTGACAATATGATGGCAGATCACTGAGTCTAGTTGACATTTTTAGCTCGACTATTCGATAAGAATAAGTAGAGCTATTGTAGTCACCCGAGAGTCGGCTTCTGCGTCTGCATTGTTGTAACCACTTATGTTAAAGTTTTTGTAATAGTTCAAATATTTTCAAAGTCCATTGACATATGGCTTTGAAACTTTGCACACTTGTTCACCATCATGACCCCAACCTGTAGACAGGAGGAGGTAACTCTATCCAGCATTTTGACAGAATTATGCCCCTTTTTCAACTTAGAATTTACGTTAAAGTTTTTGTAATAGTTCAAATATTTTCAAAGTCCATTGACATATGGCTTTGAAACTTTGCATACTTGTTCACCATCATGACCCCAACCTGTAGACAGGAGGAGGTAACTCTATCAAGCATTTTGACAGAATTATGCCCTTTTTCAACTTAGAATTTACGTTAAAGTTTTTGTAATAGTTCAAATATTTTCAAAGTCCATTGACATATGGCTTTGAAACTTTGCATACTTGTTCACCATCATGACCCCAACCTGTAGACAGGAGGAGGTAACTCTATCAAGCATTTTGACAGAATTATGCCCTTTTTCAACTTAGAATTTACGTTAAAGTTTTTGTAATAGCTCAAATATTTTCAAAGTCCATTGACATATGGCTTTGAAACTTTGCACACTTGTTCACCATCGTGATCCCAACCTGTAAACAGGAGGAGGTAACTGTATCAAGCATTTTTTTTACTATCAAGCACTAAGAATAGTCGAGCGTTGCTGTCCTACCGACAGCTCTTGTTCTATCACCACTGATCCAGAAATCATGTGGGATATTAGTCAGTCACATGTGGAGAAATTTGTTATTATTTTGTAAGTTATCCAAAAGATGCAATGAGGTTGATAGACCGCGAAGATATGACCAAAAATGTGTTCAAATTGGCGTAAAGAAAACCGCAGAAAAACAAATTATGTACTAGTGGTTGCTTGTTTTGAACATTTTGTTCTTGAAATATTGTAGATTATTAATAGACAGCAAGCAAATTCAGTATTATTTGTATTAAATGAATAGTGTCTTCAACAGCAGTAACTTTTATGGAAAAAAAATTCTGATTTTCAATGTATTGTTGTACTTTTTAACAAACTTTTCAAGGTCTCTCAGAAAATTTGTGAGATAATGCAAAAATATATGTTATAAAAATTTAAAATAAAAACGATGTAATGCAAGTCAAACATCTTTAAAGATAACAGAAGTTTTCTGGCATTAATATAAATTTAAAGATGGTCTATTTTCTAAAAAGAAATATGATTATTCCTGTATACACCTTGTATTTATTGTAAATAATTTATTTTAAAGGTAGGAAAACCTATAACTTGATTGAATGGATGTTATTTTTAAGATGTTCATCAGTGGAGGTGGAGAGACAGATGTGTATGTAGTCATGTGTAGAACAGGAGAGAAAGGTCCCAAAGGTATTTCCTGTCTTCTAGTGGAGAAGGGCACACAGGGTCTGGATTTTGGCAAGAAAGAGAGAAAGGTTGATTTAATATTGTTCAGCAAAAAAAATGAATTAGTATTGTGGTAACTGATCATTAGAAGGAAAGAAAGGCTGTTTTGGTATCAAACTTCAAATCTGGAAATTGTTGGTACATGTCTGCATGTAGTAAATTCTATTTTTAACATAAACATTCCACACTGTTGAGATTACTGGTTATGACCTAAGGGAAGCTGTCCTCTGGCATGACATGATGATCATGTCTAGGTTCCCAAAAAAGTGTTTGAAATATTTTGGAAAGTAAAAGATCATAGCTCTTATAGATACTATTGTAATATACTAAGTTCTTTCACTTACTACAGAGAGGAATGTCCAGTCTAGTAACTTTGTGATGTAATATGACATGTAACAGCATCACTTCAAACATTAGTAAATCCAGTCTGATATATGCAGGAGTAAATTTTGTTGCAACATTTTAGTGTTTAAAGAGCATATTATTTATGTTTTATGTTTTATTTTAAAAGAGAATAAACTAACTAGAGTTTTAAAACACCTTGCTTTTAAGGTGAAAAAAGTAATTATGAAATGATAAAATTTAAAGATAATGATTTTAGGTAGGTTGGAATTCTCAGCCAACAAGGGCAGTGATATTTGAGGATTGTCGAGTACCTGCAACAAATGTTATAGGGCAGCCAGGTGACGGGTTTAAAATAGCAATGAGAGGTCTAAATGGCGGCAGAATTAATATAGGTAAGGATTCTCATTATCACTTAAAACACATTTTTTATTGCATGACTATACAGAGAATAGGAAGAGCTATTGAACTTCCCCAGACGTTGGTGTCACAGGTGGTTAATTTATAGCTTGACTATACGAGGAATATGGAGAGCTGTCTTACTCGCCCTGGCGTCGGTGACCACTTCGGCGTCCGCATACAGATTTCAGATTAAAGTTTTGGTGCAGTAAAATATTTTTCACTATAACTTTTTCATTTCTTAGATCATCAACTTCAAACATCAAATATCTGTTCCTTATCATCAACCATATCTTATGTGACAATGTTCATAACTCTAGCACCAATATTGTCAGATTTATCTCCCTTTGAACTTCGAATTTTCGTTAAAAAATACAATTTTTTACTGCTACTTCTTTATTTCTTTAGGGATCAACTTCATACTTCTAATATATGTTCCTTATCATCAACCTTTTGTTAACAGATTCATGACTGTAGTACCAATAATGCAAAAATTATCTCCCCTTTAACTTAGATTTTTTCACTTGAAAAATGTTATTTTTTAGTATAACTTCTTTAGTTTTAAAGGTATCTACCTCAAACTTCAACTACATTATAACATATTCTTTATCATCAACCAGATCTTATGTGACAAGGTTCATAATTCTTTTATTTTCAGATTAATCTCCCTTTGATCTGTGGTCTGAGACCTAAAAAAAATCACCTTCTGTCCCTCTGTCAAAAATTACCTGCAAATAAAAAAGCTATAGAAACACTGTTTCTTTCTTGGCAACCCCCTCAACATTTAAAATATAACAAGAAATAGATGCTTGGCCTTGTAGATTTTTTGCTACAGATGGAAGTATGTACCCCCTTGAAAAATGTCTTGATACTTCCGAGCCTGCAGTTGAAATGCACTGTATGTAGTAAAACGATGTTCTTGACACTATCTGCCTCAACAGTTTATTACTAGTCCTATTTTGCCGGAGTTCATATTAGATGCTACAAAACCAAATCTGTTGCTGAAAATGCATTTTGAACTCAAACAGTCATTTATGTCGAGAATATTTACACTTTCAAAGAAATCCTCCACTGTGGCTACATTTAGTGTTGTGTGCTGCCTTATTTTCACATTCCTTTGTGAATGGACTGTACATGGTGCATATAGATTCAAATTATCACATGTAAATACATTTTTGTCATCAATAAATAATCGTGTAATAATATGTATAATATGGTTGTATTTTTCAGCATCATGTTCATTAGGGGCAGCACAAGCCTGTGTAGAATTAAGTAGGGATTATCTTAAAGTTAGAAAACAATTTGGACAAACCTTAGAAAACTTTCAGGTAAGATTGAGTTAACTTTTACCTATAGGTAGAACATGTAACATCTTCATTTTATAAGTAAGTGTCTTTATACTGGGAAACAAGATATCAAATATATATTAATTTATTCAAATATGACCTTGACCCCCTAAAGTGACCTTGAATTTACAGGTCAGATTGTTATACTTTTTCATATATATTAACCCTTAAACTGCTGAAACCCAAAGGGATAAACATTTGCTATGATTATAGAGCCAGGCCAGCCTGCATATTCATGTAGTCTGAGTAGACTCTGCTAACCTGCTTCCATCTTGATATCATGAAAAGTATTAATGGACTGTCCGTAAAATGGAAGCTAAACAAGTTCAGCAAGTTTAGGGTAACATACTTAGAACAGATTTGTCATTTGCAAACTTGTGTTGTTCAGTGTCATTAAAGATGATGTGTTTTCCCTTTGATAGGGTTACAAAATAAAATTTTTTCTTTGAGTCAAGTATTCAATATGTAAATGATAACATTGCATATGATTTAATTATACATACTGATAAGAGGTTATGAGATAGTCCCATTTTGTTTTTCAATATTAATATCATTTGCAAGGTACATTACTAAATTGCTTGTGAATGGCTCAAACATGTATTACTATTTCAGTATTTGCAATTTCTGCTGGCAGAAATGGCAACAAAACTTGTAGTATCACGGAACATGGTAAGACAGGCAACTAAAGCATTAGAAGAAGACTGGCCGGGGAAAGTTGCTCTTTGTTCCATGGCAAAATACTTCACGACAGATGAATGTTTTAATGTAAGTGACTTTTTGCCCGATGGCAAGCTATTTTCAATGGCAAAACTATTTTGCTACTGGAAAATTTATTGATAAAAATGCTTTCTTAAGGCTCTTTTTCCATGGTTTACTATATTCACGGCAGATGTTTTTTAAATGAATAAGGGGAAAATTATTTCACTTCAGATGAGTGTTTAGATTAAACTGGATTTTTGTGCCATGTCAAAATATTTCCCATATAATGCATGTTTTACTGTAAGGATCAATTACCTTGTTACTTAATCACCTCTTCCTACATTTTAAGCTTCCTTTACTTTGGCCCTTTGATATTCTTTATTACAATACATTAGATACATACCGGTATGTGTTTGAATGGGTCACACCAACACAGAATAGGTCATATAGTGACATTCCAGCTTTACTGGCTGCAGAAGGCCTCGGGTGCCATTACGGCAATTATTTCAGACACGAAAGGGCACCTGAGTAGAACCACAGACTTTCTGTAAAGATACAAATGTAATAGGTAAAATATTAACACAAGAGGTTGTTAGTCCCCTACCGGTTTACCGGAGGGGACTTTAGGTTTACCCTCCGTCCATCTGTCCGTCCGTCAGTCCGTCCGTCCACAAAACTGGATCCCGCGATAATGCAAAAAGTACTGAAAATATTTTAATGAAACTTGATATATGGATAGATGGCAGTATGGAGATTATGCACGTCTTTTTCTTTTCTTCCTATGTTGAAAATTCTGGTTGCTCTGGCAACAAATAGACTGAAAATATGGCAAATTTTACACATTATCTGGATCCCACGATACCGCAAAAAGTACTGAAAATATTTTAATGAAACTTGATATATGGATAGATGGCAGTATGGAGATTATGCACGTCTTTTTCTTTTCTTCCTATGTTGAAAATTCTGGTTGCTATGGCAACAAATAGACTGAAAATGTGGCAAATTTTACACATAACCTGGATCCTGCGATACCGCAAAAAGTACTGAAAATATTTTTATGAAACTTGATATATGGATAGATGGCAGTATGGAGATTATGCACGTCATTTTTTTTTTTTCCTATGCTGAAATTCTGGTTGCTATGGCAACAAATAGACTGAAAATATGGCAAATTTTACACATAACCTGGATCCAGTGATAACGCAAAAATGACTGAAAATTTTTATGAAACTTGACATATTGGTAGATGGCAGTATGGAAAATTATGCACATTCTTTTCTTATCTTCCTGTATTGAAAATTCTGGTTGCCATGGCAACAAATAGACTGAATTTCAAGATTTCTGATTCTAGTTTTTCAGTTTTTTCACTATAAGTTCTTTATTTCTTAAGGTATTTTCTTCAAACTTTAAATATAAGTTGCTAGTCATCAACCACATCATATGTGAAAAAGTTTACAACTCTAGCACAAAATTGATCAGAATTACCTCCCTGGAACTTAAAATTTTCATGAAAAAAAACATTGTTTTTGTGTCGCCTTGAAAAGGTGACATATAGGGGTTACTTTTGTCGGCGGTGTCGGCGGCGGCGGCGTCTGTGTCGGCGTCGTTGTCGTTGTCGGCGTCGGCGTCCGCTAAAGCTTGTCCGGAGCATAACTCAGTCACTATAAGTCTGATTGACTTCAAACTTGGTATGCATGCTTCTTTCAATAACCCGAAGTGCAGTGCACAAGGACCGGTACTCTGCAGTTCTTATTTTTTAAGTTATTGCCCTTTGTTAATTTTCATACTTTAATTTTGTCCGGGCCATTTCTCTTCAACTAAAAAAGCTATGGACTTGAAACTTCATAGGATGATAGTTCTCATTAAGAAGAAATGCAGTGCACAAGAACCAGTACTCTGCACTTCCTAATTTTTGAGTTATTGCCCTTTGTTAATTTTCATACTTTATTTTTGTCCGGGCCATTTCTCCTAATGTATAAAAGCCATGGACTTGAAACTTCATAGGATGATAGGTCTCATTAAGAAGAAGTGCAATGCACAAGAACTGGTACTCTGCATTTCTTACTTTTTGAGTTATTGCCCTTTGTTTATTTTCATACTTAATATTTGACCAGGCCATTTCTCTGAAAGTATAAAAATTATGGACTTGAAACTTCATAGGATGATAGATTTCATTAAAAAGAAGTGCAGTGCATAAGAACTGATACTCAGCATTTCTTATTTTTGAGTTATTGCCCTTTGTTGCTTTTCTTACTTTATTTTTGTCCTGGTCATTTTTCCTCAAGTATGAAAGCTATGGACTTGAAACATCATAGAATGATAGATCTTATTGATAAGAAGTGCAGTGTACAGAAACTGCTGCTCTGCACTTATTATTTTTTTAGTTATTGCCCTTTGTTATTTTTCATATTTCATTTTTGTCCTGGCCATTTCCCCTAAACTACATTGTTCACAAGGCGACACATCCGACTCGCGGAGTTCTAGTTTTTTTAATAACTTCTTTTTTTCTGAACATATCTACTTCAAACTTCATATAAATGTTTCTTATTATCACTCAACATTTGTGAGTGTTCAATACTCTAGCAAGACTATTTCCAGAATTATGCCCCTTTTGAACTTGACTTTTTTTTGAGAAATTGGTAATTTTCTTCAATTATGATAGGATTTTCTTCTAACTCCCACATCATAATAATATGACAATAATATGACAAGGTTTATAAATCTAGCATCCATATTTCCAGAATTATCTCCTCCTTAAACTTTTTATTTTTCCTATTCGTTCTTTTAACTTTCATTTACTTCAAATTAAAAATAAACATTCAATATTCATACCTTCATTACTAATTGTTCTTTGTTACACTCACATCATGTATGACATTGTTATCTCCTTTTTTTTAAATTTTGCTTTAAAAATGTTATATTTTGATAACAGGGATGTTTAAAAAATAACTTTAGAGTGTCCTTCAGTCTGTCTGTACATAAAAACTGTTCACTGTGATCACTTAAAATAGAAACATAAGTGAATGGCCAATGGGCCTTCAGAATGTTGCTTGGGCTCTTACCGGTAGGGGACTTATGGATTGCTTGCAATACTATGATAATTGCTTGTTTAATAAGTGCACCATATCACTGTTAAGCCTTCTTCAAAACTGTCGATTGATCATAAAGTAACATATTTAACCTTAAGAAAAGTTGAAGGCAGCTTTGGTATAGTGGTAACAATTTTTGGGTATATGTTTTATTCCAAACTTATTTGTAACAAAGAAGTCATTTGATACCATGTTTGAAAGTTGGATAATATTTGTAGGAGGAAGCATGTGCTGTGTGGCAGTTACAAGTGCCAAACCATATTGATAAAACCTTGCTGCAATTTTCATTTACAGCTTTTATTTATTATTAGATTGACTTACACAAACCAATGGGTTTTTGTTGTTGTTATTGTTGTGACATTCCAGTTCACTGCAGTGGTGTCATATTCTGGAACTTAAGGGTCATTGATGCCGAAACATTATGTTCCTGATGTTTAATACTTGTGGGATATTGACTCTGTAACAATTAACAATACACATTTGAAAATCCACCATTATTTCTTAAATTTTTTTTTGGATAGTCTCCCTTTAATCAGAGATGATAAAATTCTTCTCTACAAATGAATGTTTACATTTTAGTTCCTATATGCATTAGGTTTTTAATGGACTTTAATAAATGAATACTTGTAAAGCTGCATACCTCCAAATGAGTCAAAACATTTCAAGAAAATCAAACTTTAGAAAAATGTACTAAGATTTTAAACGTTTCCTTAACTGTTTAAGGTGACTTCAAAAATTTAAAATGCATGTTAGTGACCTTCATCATCAAGGCAAGTTGAGCGTGAGGTCTGACGGACAGCTCTTGGTGTATGATCTTATTTTCTTTTTCATTTTACGCCTTTTCCAAACAGTATTTCAGTCATATAGGCGGGTAGTTTCCTAACCATCGTTCCTGGAGAGTTACACCAGTACTAGACTTATTTTCTTTTGAATTTTAGGTATATATATATATATGTGTGTAATTATTGGATGTACTGTCCTATTTTTGTTTAACATTTATAGGTATGTATCTTATGTTGTTTTTACAGATATGTAACCAGGCAATACAAATACATGGTGGTTATGGCTATTTAAAGGATTATGCTGTACAACAATATATGAGAGATTGTAGGGTTCATCAGATACTAGAAGGTAGGCTGTATAGTATATGGATGTTTTAAAGCTACTTGCCTCCAGATCAGATGATTTAAAATATTTCAATAAATTCAAACTTGAGAAAAATGTACTAAGATGTAAGGAAAAATAAAAAGTTTCAAGTTTCAAGTAATATTTTACATGTCATGTGTGATTAATTACTAATATTACAGTATTTACAACTATATTTCTACTGCGTTACTAACGCAGTAAAGGCTTTTTATGCATATTCTGACAACTTTTTGGTAATTTACGAGGTTTGAAAGTGCCATTGATAATGTGTAAATTACTTCCTTTTGGTTATTTCACAATATTACACATTCAAATACATTTCAAAATTTTCCCAAAGCTTTTTTTTTTAAAAAAAAATTTTTTTTTTTAAAAAAAGGGGGTTTTTTTTTTTAAAAAGGGGCCCCCCCCCCCCCCAAAAAAAAAAAGGGGGAAAAGGGGAAAAAATTTTTTTCCCCCTTTTTTGACTTTTTAAAAAAAAATTTTTTAAAAAAAATTTTTTAAAGGGTTTTTGGTTTTTTAAAACCCCGGGGGGGAAAAAAAACCCTTTTTTTAAAAAAAAAAAAATTTTTTTTAAAAAAAAAAAAAATTTTTTAAAAAAAAAAGGGTTTTTTTTTTCCCCCAAAAAAATTTTTTTTTAAAAAAAATTTTTTTTTAAAACCCATCCCCCCTTTTTTTAAAAAAAAATTTTTTTCCAAAAAAAAAATTTAAAAAAAAAAAAAACCCCCCCCCCCAAAAAAAAAAAAAAAATTTTTTTTTTAAAAAAAAATTTTCAAAAAAATTTTTTTTAAAAAACCCCAAATTTTTCCCCAAAAAATTTTTTCCAAAAATTTTGAAAAAAAAAATTTTAAAAAAAAAAACCCCCCCCAAAAACCCCCTTAAAAAAAAAAAATTTAAATTTTTTTAAAAACCTTTTAAAAAAAAAATTTTTGGGGCCAAAAAAAAAAAAACCCCTTAAAAATTAAAAATTTTAAAAACCCCTTTTTTTAAAAAGGCCCAAAAAAAAAAAAAAAAAACCCCGGGGAAAAACCCCCCCCTTTTTTTTTTAAAAAAAAAAAAAAACCCAAAACAAAAAAAAAAAAAAAAAAAAAAACCCCCCAAAAAAAAAAAATTTTTCCCCCCCCTTTTTAAAAAAAATTTTTTTCCGGGGGGGTTTTAAATTTTTTTTTTTTTTTTTTTAAAAAATTTTTTTTAAAAAAAAAAAAAATTTTTTAAAAATTAACATTTTTCCAAAAAATTAAAATTTTTTTAAAAAAAAAAACCCTTTTTTTCCAACCCCCCATTTTTTTTTTAAAAAAAAAAGGGTTTTTAAAAAAAAATTTTTTAAAAAAAAATTTTTTAAAAAAAAAATTTAAAGAAAAAAAATTTTCCTAAAAAAGGGGGTTTTTAAAAAAATTTTTTTTTGGGGGGGAAAAAAGGGGGGGAAAAACCTTTTTTTCTTTGGAAAAATTTTAAAAAAAAAATTAAAAAAGTTGGCCCCAAAACCCGGGGGGGGGTTTTTTTTTTTTTAAAAGGGTTTTGGGTTTTTTGGGGGGGGTTTTTTTTTTTAAAAAAAACCCCTTTTTTCCCCCGGGAATTTATTTTTAAAAAAAAATTTTAAATTTTTTTTTTTAAAATTTTTTAAAAAATTTAAAAAAAGGGAAAAAATTTTTTTTAAAAAATTTTTTTTTAAATTTTTTTTTTCCAAATTTAAAATTTTTTTCCCCGGTTTTTTTTGGGGAAAAAACCGGAATTTTAAAATTTTTTTTGGAAAAACCCAAAAAAAAAAAAATTTTTTCCCCCCTTTTCCCCCAAAAATTTTTTTCCCCTTCCAAAAAAAGGGGGGTTTTTTTTTTTTTTTAATTTTTTTTCCCCCTTTTTTTGGGGGGGGGGTTTGGTTTTTTTAAAAAATTTTTTTTAAATTTTTTGGGGGAAAAAAAAAAAATTTTTAAAAATGGGGGGTTTTTTTTTCCAAATTTGGGGGGAAAAAACCGGGGTTTTTTTTTTTGGAATTTTTAAAATCCAGGTAGTATTTCAGTTATATTCCCATAGGCACTAGTGTTTTTGTAACAGCTAAGTTTTCTCAGCAAGTTACATGTACTTCCTGTATGCCAAGATTGGGGAAAATGGGGGTGGGAATCCTCATATCACACTTGTGTTTTCCTTACTTTACTCGATCAAAATGCCTTTTTATGCCCCCCCCCCGGCATATACTTATTGAACTGTCTATCAGTCTAACTACATTATTGGATAAATATCCATCATTCCATATATACATGTACTTGTGGGGGAAAAGTTTGCTTATATGGTGAAATACATTGCTTATATGGTTTTTGTTTACCAAACACATTCTTGTTCTTTTAATAACTCTTGAACAAATACTAGAAAATAGGCTGATATAAATTATCTTCTTGGTCAGTAAAACATGATTACCACCAACTGATTCATTTGTAGTTGTCACTGATTGTTATACCTCTACTATATAAATGTTTTTTTGTTGTTTTTTTATATTATGGAATCCCTTTGCTCTGTCATTTAGTCCATATTCCTGTTTCCAATTTGTCTACTCTACAAATCCTAAATGTATGCCCCTTGATGGATTTTCTACAAACTTTGCACAAATATTCACCTCAAAAACTTGATTTACAGACCACTGTTGTGACTTGCTTGGTTCAGATTCACCCTAGAAGGTAAAATATCAGACAAACTCTGTATCCATCTATAAATCCTTTACGGTAATACCCCTATAATGGTTTCTGAAATTCTTGCTTTTAATGGTCACCCTTTAAGGTTGAAGTTCATTTTATTACCCCCACCACCACAGATTGGTTTTGTAATTTAGTGTACCCTAATCAGATACACCTGCAAGGCATAATTTCTCCAAATTGAAATTATCTTGGATATTAAATCTTATCATACATGGTCAATAATTTGAGCCCTGTCATGACAAAACCAACATAATGGGTTTGCGAGCAGCATGGATCCAGACCAGCCTGCGCATCTGCATCAGGATCCAAGCTGTTCGCTTACAAACCCTATAGCAAGTAGAGAAACTGACAGCGAACAGCATGGATCCTGATGAGACTGCGCGGATGCGCAGGCTGGTCTGGATCCATACTGGTCGCAAACGCACTATGTTGGTTTTGTCATGACGCGGCTCATTTTGTTTCAAACTGATGATTCAGAAATCATTTGGGACACATGTGGAAAAATTGCTAGTTACTGGTTAGTTATCAAGGCAAGCCAGTTATATTACACAACCTCTGAGATATGACCAAAATTGTGTTAATATCCAGTAAAAAACAGACATGATAAAACAACTGATAAATCCTATATTTTTTGATTTAAATGTCTTCAAAGGGACGTAAAATATTTAAAATTTTTTAAAAAACATCTTAAAAGATTTAAAGGGGCCAACACAAAATCCTGGGGTCTTTGGGGAGTTGAAAAGTGGGCAGATATAAATTTTAAAAATTTTGAAATTTTTATTCTTATTTACTCATAGGGCCCCCTTGGGGGTTGAGAAAAATGGTTATGGTTTTGTAAAAGTGGTTTTAAAGGTCAGCTTTTAAATGGTTTTTGGTTTTAAAAAAGTCTGTTTGATTTGGGTTTTGGGCTTTTTTAGATTTATGATATCTGCATGCTGAATGGGTTAAAGGGTTTTCTTAGTGATTAAGGGCTGTTTAGTAGGGATAATCTGTTAGTGGTTAATTTTTCTGCTAAATGGTTAAAGGGCTGCGTGGTTATGGTCTTTAAAATTGTTTTATGTCTGCTAAGTGCTTAATGTCTGATGAGTGGTCAATGTGTCTTAAATTGTTTATGTCTGCTGAGTGCTTAATGTCTGATGAGTGGTCAATGTGTCTTAAATTGTTTATGTCTGCTGAGTGCTTAATGTCTGATGAGTGGTCAATGTGTCTTAAATTGTTTATGTCTGCTGCGTGCTTAAGGTCTGTTGGTTTTGATCGGCTGTGAGGTTAATGTGATGAGTGATACGGTCTGTTGAGTGGTCAAGAAATGGTCAAGGTTAGCAGAGTGGTCACGGTCAACTAAGTGCTTAAAGGAGCACAAAAACTGTTCGTATCTATCCTGTGTTGACGTGTGGTTTCTCTGTATTCTTCCTTTTCATCCATTTTGTACGGAAGTCAAAATACTATTTTGTTTATATTTTGCTACTTTTATTGCATATTATTTTACATTTAACGCTATTTTCTGCAGGTAATAAACATCTAACATTCTCTAAAACCATTATTAACGCAATGGAAGTTTCTAAAGAAGTCCATATTAAATTACAGACACTTGGGATGTGGAGCTTAAAACGCCTTAAGGTTTTTTTTTATATTTATGATCAGTACATGTGCTGGGATTGACAAATATGCATTTAATCTGGATTTTAAAGGAGTTTTGAGCTCCACACCCCAAGTGTCTGTGTGGAATAATGATGACAAAGTCAGTTAATAAAACAAACGCAATTTTGTCCCATAAATTTATTTGCTATATGTTCCCACATGAAATAATGATAACAAAATTTATATGATAATTAAACAATATTATTTTTCATTCGTCTTCTGAACATTGGCTTCGCCCCAAATTCTACTCGTCTCCTGAACTAAATTCTACTCGTCTCCTGAACATTGGATTCGCCCCAAATTCTACACGTTCATGCCAAGAACCCCTCAAAATAATTAAACCCATGAAAAGAAAAGAAAAGAAAAGAAAAGCAATACATTTTCAAATCCAGCACATAACTTACAAACATTACACTCTCTTTGCTACCTTTCTGACTCCAGAAATAAGCAAAATATAGATTTCTTAATTTTTTGGAGCGATTTCCTCAACATTTAGAAAATAATAGTAAATACGCAGCGCCCGCTCACACAGAGTGTGTTGTAATTATTAATTTTAACGAAATAAGAAAACAAAGGTTATGAAATGTAATTCAGTAGTCATCCATTGACTTGGCCCCATTGTGTTTCCACGTTTTACTGAAATAGAACAACATACTGAAATCATTTGCGACATTTTGTGAAGAACATATACAGTATAATACACTTAAAATATGTGTGTTTAATCACTTATAAACTGAAAACTATTGAAAAGAAAAAGATAGATCCCGATATTTAAAATACTATTTTAGCATCATCATGTAAAAGATTTTACAATTATCAGAGATTTCTATCTCATCTTAAGCACGTAATCATGGAATGGTGGTCAGGGGAGGTAATAACTATGTGAAAAGTGTCTATTATGCTTATTATAATTACACATATAGATGCATATCATTAGAAATGCAAATACATGTTAAATTTGAACTATTTTCGCAAGAACAAAAATCCAGGATACAGCAAATACGTGTCATGTGCAATGTATGATTACCTGCTCTGGCATTTCGCATACTATAGGTCGGTTATTTGAACAATAGCCCACATCCCAGTGTGTACCGTGCATAAAAACACAGTCTCTACTATCGCTTCCACTAAAGTATAAAATGCCTGGCGTAAATATTAAGTTGTCCCCAGAATATTCCCAATAAAAATTTCCTTCTGAGTCACTGTCTGATAAACCAATCCAAACATCTGTAAAATTATAAGAAAATATAGAAATTCTGATTTCAAGCAGGGTCTTTCAAATATATTTCAAATAATATTTTGAAAGACCCTGTTTCAAGTACATGTAAAAGCAAGTGCTTACAAATGAAATGAATGTACATTAACTTATTTAAACAACTTTTGAGCGTACGTTATTTGACATTTGTCCAAAAGCTTTTTTATATAAGAATGCTTGCTGGACAAGGGCAGTACATCTGCTCGTCATGTGTCCAGGTTTTACATTGGTAGTGGTTACTTTTTGTCGTTTTGATTTATTTATTGAAAACTGTATTTATTTACTAAGTAAGTCATGATCAAGTCCATTACATACAAAATATGAGACTTGATGTATGTTAGATATTAGGAGAGTATGTTCAATGTCAGTCACTTACCGGCATAACTTGATATTGTGTATACAAGTGTGTTTTCAGCATCATCTGTTATCTCGACAAGATAGGCGTTCGGGTCTAGGGACTGGCAGTAAGACTGTTAAATAATGAAAGAATATATCATTAATTTAAAACTAACTCCGCGCAATAATTTGCAGAAATTTCAATGATAAGTGTTTAGTTTAAATGTTTATATTAAAGCTAGATTGCGAAACAAAGTATTTCCACTTATATTAATCACTTTCGAGTCCAGTTCCTGGAACAAACCAGTACTGGTGTCATATGAAGAAAAATGGTCATGGCCCATTTAGGGCTCGAACCTATGTTCCCTGGTTTGAGAGGCAGACACCTTAACCACTAGGCCACCAATCCTCATACGTTTATTTTCTTATATTTCGAAAAATATTTGATAGTTCTTTAAAGACAAGACATGTAAAATTTGCAGTTATTCTCAGACACTCGGGTCTGACCGTGACCAGAGACATAATCTATGTCTCTGCCGTGACCAATAACCTTGCTCAACCTTAATTCTCAATGAATTTCAACATTTTGATACGGTTTAGACATCTGTATTCGTCTTAAATCAACCCAGTACGATTCAATTTTTACTTGTTAAATTAAAAATCCGAGGTACATTGTTGTCAGAGATTTATATAGAATTTGTAGAAATATTGCATAGCCTTAACAAATCTGGGGTAATCGTTAATCGAAATTATTGATTTTTTTAAATACACTGTAACACATAATGTAATTGATTACCTTGCCCAACAAATTGATTATATTAATTGTAATTAATCAATTACAGCTTGAATTCATTCACAATTTGATGGATGTTGATTACATGTACTATCAGATTTAACAGAATCAAAGGATGCCTTTATTTCACATGGTTTAACTTTTGTTTTAGAGTTATACATTTCAATGTTATCAATTATTAATCAATTGCCATCATAAAGTAATTGAAATTTAATTGATTACAGAGACAAGTCGGAATAATCAATCATAATCAATTACAGTAAAATCTGAAAGTAATTGTAATTGAATCAAATACTGATCATTGTAATCATTTCCAGGTCTGCTTAGGTAATAAAGTAATAAGGTAAAAGATTTTCATATTACAACTGCCGATAGCCAGTTAAACGTAGTGCTGACGTAGAGATAACAGCTATTTCTGTCATAAAACCACCCCGGTAGACATGGATCTTTATAAACTGAAGAGAAATACAGAACATACAACCATGTTTAATCAACTTTTACCGATAAAACGTGAATGGCATCATCACAGTGAATAAAGAAATCAAAGTAACACTTTTACTTACTTGGAAAATGAATAATAAATGATTATGTCGATCTTGATAATTACGAAAAGACATAAATATTATGTGTTTCATATATAGATCTTCAACATATTTAGCAGCACAGTAACTTGAAATTATGTCAATATTAACGATAATATCCAAAATATACCCCTATATAGTATTTAAAATAAACTATACTGTGTATATTTTTGATATTATCTATTATATTGATAGAATTTCAAGTTCTTGTGGTACCAGCAATCATTTCAAATGTGCTTACAGAAAGAAGATTTAGAAATACCTGATTCACAGACTGTTCCTGTGAAACCTGGCGTACATTGGCAGGTATGGGCGTTCACTAAATCTTCACATGTGCCATTGTTTAAACAAACCGCATTTATGCAATCGTCTATATCTTAATAATAGAGAACAGGCATATAAAAATATGTATACGAAATTGGGCTGATTCCTCAATACACATGTATATATAAGAAGCAAGGAAGAGTAAAAGATCCCTGAATGTTACACAAATTCACGAAAGAAAAAAAAATATGTGTAAGCAATTAATGGCAGAACATTACTTCACATTTCTGTTTAAAACATAGATGAAGGAGATGAATAAATTGCTTTGAAGTTCATTTACCGCAGTTTCTTTAAGAATTTAGTGCAGAATATATATGTAAAATCCTTCATACATGTATATATAGATCTTCAACAATTATGTACAGTGTAATATTTACCAGCAATCATATCAAAGGTGCTTACTCACTGACCAATAAGATTTAGAAATACCTATTTCACAGTGTGTTCCTGTGAAGCCTGGCGCACAACAGCAGGTGTAGCCATTCACTAAATCCACACAGGTAGCACCGTTTAAACAACTCGCAATTGTGCAATCGTCTATATCTTAATGAATGGAAACAGGCATTGTGCATGTTACACAAATTCACAAAAGAAAAAAATATGTGTTAGCAATACATTGCAGAATATTTCTTCAATTTCTTGTTTAAACATGGATGAAATAGATGAACATAAATTGCAATGAAATTCATTCCCTGTAGTCTCTAATTAAATTGTATCGTCAGCAACATTTCAGCAAAGTTTTTTCGCTTAAGAGATGTTTGAAGAGCCAAAGCGTAAGAAATTTATATGATTGATGCTTTAGAGAAAATTTCGACTGAAAGCAAGGTATATCATAAGTATAGTTTACTTATTTCATAAAATTCTCCTATGAATCCAGATCCTGTTCTGCGATAATTACAAAAAGACATGTTTCATATATAGATCTTCAACATATAAATACAGTGTAATATTTACCAGCAATCACATTAAAGGTATTAACTGAACAATAAGATATAGAAATACCTATTTCACAATGTGTTCCTGTGAAACCTGGCGTACAATGGCAGGTGTAGTCATTAACAAAGTCCTCACAGTTAGCACCGTTTAAACAAACCGCATTTATGCAATCGTCTATATCTTAATGATAGAAAAGAGACATACAAATGTAGATCACTAACATAGAAATACGCATGAAAATGGGCTGATATATACATGTATATCAGCAATTTCATTATTGGTTTGTTATTTTATAAGTTACTTCACAAAGGAATACATTTCTCACTAGGAAGAGAACAAGAAGAGTAAAAAGTTCCGAGAATGTTATACAAATTGACGAAAGAAAAAATTGGAACATTAATCATAGAAAATTTAGAAATAGATAGATGAAGGAGATGAATATAATTAGCACTGAAGTTTCTTAAAGGATTTACTAGAAAATATACATCATATCAGTATAATCATTTGACACTTGACAAATTTTTCATCTTAAATTATTCCATCAGCAACATTTAAGCAATTTTTTCGCTTGAGAGATGTTTGAAAAAGCCAAAGCTAAAATGATTAAGATGTCTTTTGTTTTACTAGGGAATTCAACTTTAAACAAGGTATATCAAAAGTAAAAATAACTTATTTCACAAAATTCTCCAATCCAGATCCAGTTTCGTGATAATTACAAAAGACATGAATATTATCAATGTTTCATATATTAATCTTCAACATATACATACAGTATAATATTTACCAGCAATCATATAAAAGATGCTTATTGAACAATAAGATTTAGAAATACCTATTCCGCAGTTTGTTCCTGTGAAACCTGGCGTACATTGGCAGGTATGGTCATTCACTAAATCCACACAGGTTGCACCGTTTAAACAACTCGCACTTGTGCAATCGTCTATATCTTAATGAATGGAAACAGGCATTGTGCATGTTACACAAATTCACAAAAGAGAAAAAATATGTGTTAGCAATAAATCGCTGAATATTTCTTCTATTTCTTGTTTAAAACATGGATGAAGAGATGAACATAAACTGCAATGAAGTTCATTCCCTGCAGTCTCTAATTAAATTGTTTCATCAGCGACATTTCAGCAAAGTGTTTCGCTTTAAAGATGTTTGAAAGAGCCAAACTTTAAGAAATTTATATGTTTAATGCTTTAGAGAAAATTTCGACTTTAAGCAAGGTAAATCATCAGTACTATAATTTACTTATTTCACAAAATTCTCCTATGAATCCAGATCCTGTTCTGCGATAATTACAAAAAGACATATGTTTCATATATATAGATCTTCAACATATACATACAGTGTAATATTTACCAGCAATTACATTAAAGGCGTTAACTGAACAATAAGAATAGAAATACCTATTTCACAATGTGTTCCTGTGAAACCTGGCGTACAATGGCAGGTGTAGTCATTAACAAAATCCTCACAGGTAGCACCATTTAAACAAACCGCATTTATGCAATCGTCTATATCTTAATGATAGAAAAGAGACATACAAATGTAGATAACAAACATAGAACTACGCATGAAAATGGGCTGATATATACATGTATATCAGCAATTTCATTATTGGTTTGTTATTGTATAAGTAACTTCACAAAGGAATACATTTCTCACTAGGAAGCAAGAAAGAAGAGTAAAAAGTTCCGAGAATGTTATACAAATTGACGAAAGAAAAAAATTGGAACATTAATCATAGAAAATTTAGAAATAGATAGATGAAGGAGATGAATATAATTTGCACTGAAGTTCATTTGCTGCAGTTTCTTAAAGGATTTACTAGAAAATATACATTATATCAGTATACTCATTTGACACTTGACAAATTTTTAATCTTAAATTATTCCATCAGCAACAATTCAGCAATGTTTTCGCTTGAGAGATGTTCGAAAAAGCCAAAGCTAAAATAATTAAGATGTCTTTTGTTTTACTAAGGAATTTCAAGTTTAAGCAAGGTACTATATAGTATCTCAAAAGTATAAATTACTTACTTCACAAAGTTCTCCCATCCAGATCAAGTTTCGTGAAAATTACAAAAGACATGCATATTAGCAATGTTTCATATAATAATCTTCAACATATACATACAGTATTATATTTACCAGCAATCATATAAAAGATGCTTATTGAACAACAAGATTTAGAAATACCTATTCCGCAGTTTGTTCCTGTGAAACCTGGCGTACATTGGCAGGTGTAGTCATTCACTAAATCCACACAGGTGCCATTGTTTAAACAACTCGCACTTGTGCAATCGTCTATATCTTAATACATTAAAATTGTAATAGAAAACAGGCATATTGTACATGTAACAAAAATTGACGGAAGAAAAAAAAGGTGTAAGCAATTAATCGTAGAACATTTTAAAAACATAGAAGGATGAGATGAATATTAATTGCAATGAAGTTCATTCGCAAATGATTAATTTGAGAATATAATATTGCATCTGTAAAATCCTCGACAAGTTTTTTTTATCTTATATTTTTGTATCAGCAACATCTAAGCAATGTTTGACTCTTGAGGGATGTTTGAAAAAGTCAAAACTTAAAAAAAAAACCAGAAAATTTCAACTTTAAGCAAGATATATCAAATCTAAAATTTGCTTATTTCACAAAATTCTCCTATGAATCCAGATCCTGTTCTGCGATAATAACAAAAAGACATGTTTCATATATATAGATCTTCAACATATACATACAGTGTAATATTTACCAGCAATTACATTAAAGGCGTTAACTGAACAATAAGATATAGAAATACCTATTTCACAATGTGTTCCTGTGAAACCTGGCGTACAATGGCAGGTGTAGTCATTCACTGAATCCTCACAGGTAGCACCATTTAAACAAACCGCATTTATGCAATCGTCTATATCTTAATGATAGAAAAGAGACAAACAAATGTTGATCTACGCATGAAAATGGGCTGATATAAACATGTATATAAGTAATTTCATCATTGGTTTGTTATTGTATAAGTAACTTCACAAAGGAATACATTTCTCATTAGGAAGCAAACAAGAAGAGTAAAATGTTCAGAGAATGTTATACAAATTGACGAATGACAAACAGATAGGTATATCAATCTTAAAACATTTCTTTAATTTTCCGTTTAAAACAAAAAAGAATCAATTAATGGTATTCGCTTGAGTGATGTTTGAAATTTAAATGTCTTATATCTTTGAGAATTTCAACTTTAAGCAAGGTATATAAAAAGTATATACTTATTTGACAAAATTGCCCTGTGAATCCAGAGCCACAACAATCACACTTCATTTGTTTATCTTGAAAGAAACACTGACTCGGGTCTGTACAGTTGCCTAAAACAATGATCTTTTCCATTGAAAATGCATAAAAAGTGACAATAGTGGTCTTTTAACGTGTTTCTGAATTTATTCTTTGCCCGATAAGAAAGTCTTGAATAAAATTTATTACTCAATTTCGAACTTGTTTCAATGGTGCTTAGAAAAATGTAATATATAATAACGTTTCTGTGGTATATATATAAATTGAAAAAGATGGACAGATTCGACATTTAGAACAGATCTTAACGATTTTGGAAAAAGTCTGTAGCATACATGTTATTAATATGACATATATGTCCGCTGGCAAGAAAAAGAAAGGAAGCAAAGAAAAATATGTTCATTTTTCAATATTATATGTTAAATGTTAAGTACTCACATTGGTAGCACCTCTTATTTGCTTTGGAATTTGCCTGTTCAAAGCCGGGCAATAGGCAGGCAAACCCGGCTGGACACTGAAATTATATACTTATCTTTAACGATTTAAGAATAAGTTTAAGTTAGAAATCATTGATTTAAGAATAAGTTTAAGCTAGAAAGCATTGTTTTTTTTTTAAATATGTTTTTTTTTACATATTAGACATGGAGTTTATTCATTTGTCAGTCTAAATAATGTTATTTTGTTTCTTTCACAACATGTCCAAAAACTTAGTGTGAAAAACACGACATTTGAAAATGGCATATTATTATTTTTAAAGGAACGACATACCATGATTGTAATTTATTTACCTCGTTGTGATCATTACATCTTACTACTCCATTTCCTCCCCCATTGTTATTTTCTGAACGTTTAATAAAGTTGGTATTCTTACTGTTCTTATATTTTACCCTCTGCATGTCTCTAAGCGACTTTGATTCGGATGTTTTTACAAACACCAAAAGAAATGCCAATAGCTAGAAAAAAATATTTGTACATGTAATATTAGAAAAAACGTTTAATTTTTATGTTTGTTTTATTTTGATTTTTTTTTTTTTTTTTAGATTGATTTGTTTATTTTTTATACCAGCATTATAAAAGAAATACAATTAAAACCCTCAATTAAGACCACCATTGGGACTTGACCAAAGTGGTAAACTTAATTGCTGGGTGGTCTTAATTGTGAATATTCTTATCATTTTTTACATATTTATAATAAAGACTAATTTCAGTCAATTTGTGAGAATAGACAATATATCTTAACCTGCAAATACAATACAAAAAAGTATGTTATAAATTATAATGTTACAAAAACATATTTCTGAAGAAATTTAATATCAAATTCTATTTGGTCTGATTTGATATATTTATTATTACATGATGTACATAACTCACCAATCAAATAAAAAATTAATTCTGCGCAAAATCATTTTGCTTAAAGCAGTATCAAACCACACTAAAATCTTCTTTCTCACCTTATTTCATATAATATCTCAAACATTCTGAAGTGGCATGCCTAAGATCATTCAAGCAGATGATAACAACAAAACAACAACATCTATAGGTATACATGTATTAACTTTAAATCAGTGGTCTCAAAAGTGTGGTCAAATAATGAACAAATTAAGAATTTAGACTGAATTTGGTAGCCTTAAAAGTGGAAAAGCGAAGAGGTTTTAATTCTGGATCATGTAACATTTGACATAAAGAACATAAAATTCCGTTCTTACTATATGGTCTCAATTCCAGGGTAGTCTTAAGTAGGGATTCCACTTACATGTACTGGGTAACAAACGTTTTAAAGTAACAAAATTTAGACATTATAGTAAGGAACTGAAGTTACTGTTTTGAAGTGATTAAAAGGCGTTAAACGAGATAAAAAATTGAAATCAACTCACCAAAAGTGTGATTTTTAATGTCATCGTTGCTCACAAACACCTTTTTATCGCTAAAAGAAGAAAACAGTCCTGAAATGAATTTCATTTTAGTAATTTACTATATTGCTGTAATTTTATCCTATACGTTACACGTTCTTATCTGATGTCTCGTCAATAATGCAAATATAGAATAAGTAGAGGTCTTATTGTATATCCATGTTAGCTCCATACTAATGTAATTGATCTACCAAATTCTTTACGTCTCCGCATTAAAAATATGTACGTACGTTCTCCTCCTAAAGTTTAAAATAGCTTATATATATATATATATATATATATATATATATATATATATATATATATATATATATATATATATATATATATATATATATATTATAAAATAGCTTATTCTGAAAAATGTAGATGGATATCAAAGATACTCAAAATGAAATTTCTAAAAAGGTATTTCAGCAGATGGCCAAAACTGAAGAAATTGTGGGATTTTAATATCAACAAATGATAGAAATAATTTCTTTAGTACGTTTGGCTCTAAAAGGTCGGAAAACGATGTTTTTACCAATAATTTAAAGCTGAATAAAGTGTTTTGTATTGGGTAAATTTTAGCCAGACGTTTTTACATATTTTTATTAACATACAGTTTCATCCGTTCGATCATATCTTATTTTTAACTATTCATAAAATGACGTTTTGTCATGGCATTTAAATGAAATTCAAAGATTTAAAGCATTATTCATCTTTTAAAAAATCCTCTTTTTTCCTTTCAGACAAAATATTTTTACAGTCATGCCGAATTGCTCATAAAATGAAGAACCTTCTGGATACATATTTAGGCCTACTGTTCATAAAATGTAAAGGAATCACACGCTGATAATTTCTTCAATATCACAGTTTGCTATTACATTAAAACCTTGTTTGACTACGGCCACCAAATGAATCTACTTTTGAATCACCTTATTTACCAATTTATTGCAGTTACTTGCCATTTATGTATTATCAGTGTTTCTCAGAAAAAAAATCTAAACATGCTTATGAGAAATCGAGAGCCCGTATTAAAAACCAATAAATTATTATATTCTGAACAAAATGTGTGCTGAGAGATTGTTAAAAAATAAATTACAAACGCCAATTCGACATTTGCCTCAACAACAATGAAAGCTATGTATACATACCATTAAAAACTTACTATTAAAATACATATTTTTAGTTTAATAAGCAATTTCTGATATGAACACGTACCTATTAAGTGTCACTTTCTTTTCTTCAAAACACAGATGAGTTACTAGTATATAACTTAGAAACATCGACAACTGACTCACTTTAAAATCCTGCACTATTTATTTTCAATAACATAAAAATATATAGGTCACTTTCCCTCATCACTTAGATCATTAGTTTTGTAAAAAGTATTTTGACAAATTTATATTGTTTTTAATGTCTACTACTCCTTGACGATTGTTTATGTTCACATGAAAACTGTGACTCGGACAATAAAGTTTTGAAATGAATTGATAGCATTATTTAAGCATAACTTTAATTCTGCGCGCATACATATTGGATATAAACAATATTTTATGTAAATATCAAACGGCCTTCTAGTATCAACATTTATTTTCAGATCAATATGAATTTATTAACCACATTATAGCATAGCGATATACGCATGGTGTGATTATCTCTTAAGAATAGAACAGAACTGTTCTGTTCTGTTTTGTGATTATATCTTAAGAGCCAACATGAAATCCATTAAATCAAAAGCCATATTGCAGCACCATAAGCCTATCTTCTTACAATATCTTTCTCTTTCATAAAATACAATTTTTTTATTTTGTTTTATTTATATTTTATATTTAATTTCAATTTTAATTATTATTTAATTTGAAAAGATATATTTTTGCAAGCAAAATTCCCTTAAATCACGAACATTTACCATTTCCATTTATTTATTTATTTCCTTCACGTTTTGTGTTAACAAAATTATCAACGTACATTCCGTCTCAATATCCTAACAATACAATAAAATTATGCTGTAAGAAATCTAATATGAAAATACAAATTCCTACCTTTCTAATATGCCAGATACAATACACGACAGTACTAAAAACGTCTGATGAAAAGTGTTCAGTTATACACGTATATATAGAAACTAAAACATCGCGTCAACTAAGACAATCATGCAAACGTGCTTAAGCCCATCCTCCGGAAACACGTGACTTTGTATGTGTAACCACAAATGAAAAGTATTGTTTAAGCGATTCGATAAGGGCGTTAATTTGCGAAGTATTTTTTCAAAGACAATCATGCATACGTGATTTTGCTCAGCCTCCGGAAACACGTGACTTTAATATGTGTATAATATTGTTTTAGCGATTCGATTTTTGCGAACCAATTTTTCAATAACAATCATGCATACGTGCTTTAGCCCAGCCTCCGGAAACACGTGACTTTATGTGTATAACCAAAAATGGAAGTATTTCGATTAGGGCGTGACTTTGCGAACTAGTTTTTCAATCCATTTAGACCTTGTTTTGGTCGCTTTGGGTCCTTAATCATTATTTTTTAATTAATCCTAGTACTATACAGATTTATATATACATGTGTAAATCTGATATATTTCTACATTATTGAAATACTAAATGATAATTAATAGCATTTAATAATTGGGTTTCTTTTCGTGAACTTCTGTTTACTTTTTATGATACATTTCTGCGTGTATATGGAAAGTAAATATAATAACAAACAAATTACCATATCTTTACAAGAATTTCTTTTGAAAAATAAGAATGATAATACTGAAGAGACAACTTTAAGGATCATTGAAGTCATGCAGCCTTTCCTTGTTGGTCTTGTTAATCATATTGTAAACAAATGATGTATCTATTGAAGGTCATGATCAATTATTGTTTTATTTTCTGTATGTTAATAACTTCTATTCCCCAGGATGTCATATTAAAGGCACTTTGTGCGATTTTTGCCCAATAAATGCTTTTATTTTCATTTTCCAAAATCTTTTTAAAGTTTGCTGTCCTGGTATATTTACCAAAATGTTAATCATTGGCCAATTACCCGAACCATATCTTTTGCTTCTGTTTTTTTTTTGTTTTTTTTTTGTTTGTTTGTTTTTTCTCTCTCTTTTTTTTAAGATAGTAGTAATAGGGATAATTAAAGTACTTTTATGGAAGTCAAAATACTTTGTTTAGATTTTACTACTTTTGTGACAAATTATTTCAAATTCGTACCTGCTTTCTTGAGGTGATATTATTTTAACGTTTTTGTAATTTTGAAGAATGAAAAACAAATTTCTGTGGCATAATGTGTCTTTAATATGAAATTTGTCTACACATGGTTGAGCAGTTTAGCTGTCTTAGGTGGGCCAGCCTAAATCCCTACCCTGGCATAGTTGTAACACTGGAGGAAAGCATATCATGCACGGTCTGTGCAGCCTCTGAGGGTCCAGGGTTCAAAATCCGGCCACACTGCACTATTTTCTCTCCCTGTGATATTTGGTGCAAAATGTGGGGCCGTGATGGCATATATCTGTGAAGTGTTCTCTGTACCCATAAAAAATGACATAATATCACAGTATAAACTGTTCAATAAATAAGAGAAAACTTATGCCGAATGCCTGATAGCTCAGTTGGTAGAGCTGCATAATGATTTTCAGAGCATCCCATGTTTGTGCCCCCGTCAGACTGCACATCTTTCTCAACCTGTTACATTTTGGCAACCAACATGGAGCCATGACGGTATGTAGCTCCGAGCCAACTTATTTTGTTAATGTACAAATAAGAAATTTGAGGAAAGACGCTTATTTCTCAAGTGGTTGCAAGCTTAGTGCTCTAGTAGTAACATGCTTGGCACTCAAGTAGTTACATGCTTGGCACTGAAATGGTCACATGCCAGGCACTGTCGTGGTTACATGCTTGGTGCTCTAGCGGTAAGATGCTTGGTGTTCTAGTGGTAACATTCTGGGTACCCTAATGGTTACACGGCTTGGAGCTCTAATGGTGAGATGTTTGGTTCTCTTGTGGTAACATGCATAGTACTCTGGTGTTGACAGGCTTGGTTCTCTATTGGTTACATCCTCGGCGCTCTTGTGGTTACATGCTTGGTAATCTAGTGTTACACGCTTGGTGCTTTAGTGGTTACACGCTTGGTGCTCTAGTAGGTTTTTGCTTGTGGTCACACACTTGGAACCTTTGTGGTTACAAGCTGGCTGCTCTTGTGGTTACATGCTTGGAGTTGAAGACAATTGGTGATAGCATGGTGTTCTAATGGATACATGCTTTGAGTTCTAGTTGGTTCACACCAGACGCTATAGTGGTTACTCACTTTGCACTCTAGGGTTTAGACGCTTGATGATCTAGTAGTAACATGCTTGGTGTTCTAGTGGTGACCTCTTTGAGCTCCGGTGGTTACATGTTTTACGCTCTAGAAGTTACAAGCTTGATGCTGTAGTGTTAACATGATATATATTCCGTACATACTACATTATCTAGACAAGTTAAATGGTTTCCGGCGGGAAACATTTTTAATGATATAAAAATATTTCATTTAACTATTTTCAACATTTTTTTGTGGAAAAATAAATAAACGTTTGTATCAGGAATATAGTTGAAAATAGTTGATCAATAGAAGAAGGTCTATGGAGACTGGTGACCGTTGAAAACCGGAGACCGGAGATAATGTTGAACATAAAACAATTACGGTATTTCTTTTTAAGAAAATGATTAAATACCATTGTATGAACAATTCCGTGCAAAAATAAAGATAACACACAAGTTTACGCAGAAAAATATCTCTATTTATTATGGCAGATGCCACTTCGAATATTTTGATTTTGTAGATTTTCACTATAAACAATTTATTGTTTGTAAAATTTGAGATAGATATCAAAGAAACATTGATAATAATTTTTTCAAACACATCATTCAAGATTTTCCACCTTAAACGGTAAAATAATTATAAAAAATTGGAAATAATACGTAATAGTTTTATGTTCTCGTGAATTTCACGAATTCGAAAACCTAGATAAACGCCGTTTTCCGCTGGGGAATTTACCTAAATGGAGTGTAATAGCGAACTCAATGTTTTCGGCATTTTTTTTTAAATTAAACTAAAATAAAACAGTTATTTCTTT